TATTTATGGCAGCTAAAAGATAGAGCAAAGAAAGCGCTGAAAATTGTTTTGAATAGCTGCAGATGTAAGCAATAAAAAATCAAACGATTCTTTGTTTCATTGAAAGTCCGCTTGAACTGAACTGGAGTCCAATGAATTTATGAAGGAAAAGTTTTATGGAATATTTATTTTCATAGTCTCTACAAAAACAATTTTTTTTTGAAAATGTGTCATATTTCTTCACTAGGTAATTATTTTGGCTAGTGTATAAAATAGGAAAAATCGTTGCCCCTATATATAGCTACATTTTAGTTCTACTACTTTGGGTGCAATAAGTTGTTAACAGTTAGTCATAGGAATTAGAATTGAAATTGGAAAAGAGAAGGTATGTGCTAAGTTGTTAATATAACTCATTTTTAACAGCGGTAAATCGTGTATCAATGCTCAATATATGGCCAAATATTGATCATACATTTCCAGGCGGTTTTGGTGAAATTATTTTTAAATTAACATTTTTTTTTAATATACCCATGCCTTTGCTCGATTTTGACATTTAGTACGGTTCATTGTGATATAGTAATAATGAAGAAAAAATAGAAAATATTTAAAATTCCGTCCAAATGTAGGCAAAACTTTTTGTAGTTCGTAACTGTCAGTTAAAAGCTTACCTAAAATAATAAAAGCTTTCTTTTAGTAATATGTTGAAAAAAACAATTATATATGCCTGAATGTAGGCAACATTTTGTTAAACTAATTCGACAAAAATTATTTTTCGAAAAAAAAAATTTGGGTTTGGACTTCATTTACAAAGAATAGTTATGGTTTTGATTTCAACGTAACTTACACAGACGCCTCAAAGCCCACAATATATAATATCGTAATATGAGTAGAATTCGAAAATTCGCCTTAAGGTAGGCAACTTATTATATCATAGATTACCTAAATGTAGGCTATATTTTTGGTTTTTATTTCTATCAAAAAGTTAATTGACACAACTTTTTAGCATCTTCAGCTAATTATTTTCAAGTTAAACTAAGGATCAAAAGACTTAAACTTTTCGATAAAAATTCTTTTGAATAATTTAGCAAAGTGCCTAAATGTATAAATTTTTTTTAATATAAAATGAGAAATAGCAGTTAATAAAGTACAAAATTGCATTACCTATTTCCAAAAGAAATATATTTTAAACTGTAAAGAGATTTATTACAATCTTCTGTCAATTAATAAGTATATGAATAATTTAAGAGATATTTCATAACGGACTTCTCTTAGTGAGTGTATGATTATAAGAAAGAGTAAGAGCAATGAGTTTTATTCATAATTTTGTAATACAGACTTAGCATGTGCACATTAGTAATCATTAGATAAATAACGGCGACCCTAAAAGCAGACTTTCAAAAACACGAAATTACATAGACGTGGCTCAGTTCATTCAATATGTCAATCATACGCCCCATTCGTCACGAAAAGCTGCAATCTGTTGCTTGTAAGCGCACATAAATTCACTTAATAAATGTACTTTAATCATAGCTGTGCTTCAGACAATTCAATTGTCTAAGTTCAACTTCTGCTTTTGATCCTCCTCCTTAACCTGCTTGGCCCCTCTTTGCTCTTTGTTAAAGCAATTACGCTCAGTAAGACCAGCAATTACAATATTTCCATCAAAACTTTCAGTTGCATGAATAACCAACTATGTGGGTGGCAATCAAAAAACTGACGCTTAATGCCAACAACAGCGAAAATAACAACCTGTACTAAGACTACTGTCAGCCACTGACATTCACTTGAAGACCTCCATTCAATGACACGTGTCCTGCCTTCGCGTCACTCTTCCTTAGTCATATGCTGATGACATCTTTTTGCTTCCTTTTTTGCCAGCTGGCCTGTCTTTTTTAAATTTAATCGCATATGTTCGCTTTTGGCATGTGTTTTTCTGCATGTATGTGCATGCGCCAGCAATCATGTCTTCTGTTCTCCTTAACCTTAGCCTCACTCTTGAGTGGCAACATTAGACGACGGCGCTGGCATATCGTCCTTGACAATAACATTCTTTATTTGCTCACACATATATATATAGTAGGTGTTTATGTGTGTGGGTGTACGTTTATCCATGTAAATGTCGTTTCGCTGCTGCAAATGTGCTTGCCATGTTGTCTTATATTTACTGTTATTCAAATGGTTTGTATTTTTAGCTGTATTTGCTTTTCTGTTGAGTTCTCAAGGAAAACGCTGAGTCTACATTTTTCAGTAAATACTTTCGTATTTTGTAATAAACAGTTGTCAGCTGATTTGCAGAAAAATAAATTTGCTCTAAACCCTGATTTATTACGATTTATTAAAAATTGTCAATTTTTAGTTGACTCTTGTGCGCAATAATATTGTACACTAATATTATTCAAAAATATTGTGCAATATTACTATTTAAAAATATTGTAGAATAGCTGTATTCAATTATATTGGGCAATCATTTTATTCAATAATATTGTACAATATTTCTTTTATGATCTATTTTAAAAGTTATTATAATTACTGTTATAAATTGTATATAATTTATGATCATGAGGATATTTATAATTTACTTGTGGCATCGAAACACTAACGTCTTATTTCATTCGTTTAAAACAAACCGATATTATCTTTTATAGCTGTATGGTCTAGACTCTAAACTAATCTTGACGTGCTCAAATTTCTGATTTATGGCTGTTTAGGCTTTTGTATAGGCAGAAATTATAATTAACTCACTTGTTCAAAAATATTTAGCAATCATTTTATTCAATAATATTGTGCAATAATATTGTTCAAAATTTTTTTATGGTCTTTTCAAAAGCTATTACAAATTTTGTAACATATTGCATATAACTTATGTTCAAAAACTCAAAACGACATGACGAAATTTATAAATAAAATGTAGAATCGAAACATCACCTTGTTTTTTCACATTCGCATAACCTATGCTGCTCTCTCTAGTTAGACCAAACTTAGTTTTCTCACTTTTGGTGGCACAATTACAAATAGGTTTTTCGCCAAATAAGAAATATTTTTAATGTCTTTTTTTAACCGCTCAGTTCTTCGAGCTCAACGTAAGTGGAATATTATTTAAACATCTGAGTTTCAAAACAAATATATTGAAATATATAATTATTTTATCAATATTGAAAACTGATTAACTTATATTATGGGACACATAAGCATGACAATTTTATACTTTAACTTTTATATTAACTTTTACCACGCTTTCCAAGTTATCCTTTTCGTTCAGAAATATTTCATAATAAATATGAGTGATCTCATGCAAAATAATCCATTGTTCTTAAAACTTAAAATTATTGACCGCAGAATTCTATCAGAACACCGTCATAAATAAATGAATGCTGTCAGTGTAAAATATGCACCGAATAAAATTATACACAAACATTATTTTCATTACAATTACCGCACATGGCATTACTTTTGCGTAAATATACAACTTTTATAAGTTTATTTCATTCTTCGACATAGTTTGTTTGTTTATCGACGCTTACGTGCGCAAATGAAATGTGTTTATTTGATTTGGAATAATGAATGAAAACTCAGACTTAATAGATGAATTAATATGTATTATACAAAGTAGTTGGTTGTATAAAAGATATCATTAAATTTGCTGTGAATTGTTAGTAGACAAAATGCATGTGCGGGTGTAAAAATGCACTATTAGAATTTATTAGTCTTTAGTATAAAAGCCAAATATTAAGCTTGGTGAAAGAATGTGATTTGTGATTAAAAGAAAATACGTAATAAAATTGTATTATTTATGTGTTGCTTAAAGATTTTGGAGATATGTATACGAGTAATTATCTAAAATCAGGGTTGCAAATTCTTTAAGTAAAAAGTTTTGAGCTAAATTAAATTTAAAATTCTTTACTAAAAAATGGGAGCTTGAATTGTAAATTAAATTTTTCGATTCGAAAAAATGCAAATAAATTAAAAATTTGTTTTCAATTTTTCATTTTGATATAATAAAATTGTAGTCAACTTAAAAAAACACCAAATTTATAAAGACGGAATTGAAAATTGGAAATTTAAAATAAAATATTTTTACCATTTTTTTGTTAAGTTTAGGACTAAAAATTTGATTTATAAATTTATAAAACTTAAGCCAAAGAAAGCAAAACTTCCAAATTTGGAATTAAAATGAGTATAAACAATAAGTATAATATATATATATAACACAAGCTGGTAAGAATAGGAGGAAATAATAAATTTGCTTAACTTAAAAACTATATTTAAAATTAATTAAATGTAAATTAGACAAATTATGTCAAAAAAAGTTAAAACTCTATTATTAGTAAGATTTCCTTTTACAAATATAACCGAATTGGTTGAATAAGAAGTAAGCAAGCACAAAATATTTAAGATTGAAAAAAACACATTTTTTAAATTTTTATCTAAAAATATTGGAAATAGCATTTTTTCATTTTTCAAATTGGTATTTAGGAGACTAAAATAAAAAATTGTAATCCCTGAATAAGGTATATTAAGTGTGTCACAAAGTATGTAGTACCCAAAAAAAAAACACATCGGAGACCCTCTAAGATATGCATATCTATAAATGATCAGCATAGCGAGATGAGTCGATTAAGCCATGCCCGTCTGTCTGCCTATCTGTTTATACCCAAACTAGTTCCTCAATTTCGATATACATTTTTAAAATCTGATATTTGTAGTTTTGAAATTTTACAAACTCAAACATTAATATTAAATTTTCATCCGATTTATGGGACTACAATATTTTTTTTATTCAATATTTGGAACTCAAAATTTGAAATTAATTTTTTGTTAAAGATTTTCGGGATTATAAAAAATTAAAGCAAATTTTAATTTAAGTGTTAATTCAGTAGTCTTTTTAATGCAATAATAGCAACCCTGTATATTGTATAATTAATGCATAGTAAAATTATTCTAATTTAGTAAACAAGAGCAAAAGTCATAACATAAGACACAGCATTAGTGCAAAACAGACGCAATTATTCCACAGAACTTACCACAATTCGTCGCACGCGTGTCATATTGTCCTAGTTAGCGTTGATTACTTCCGTTGCGTTGGCAGAATAGCTAATGTAGGATAACAAAATGAATATAAAGACGCTTGCTGTGGTTTTTTGGTTTTTTTTTTAGATTTGTTGTTTCTATAATTTGACGCAATTTTTGTGCTGTTTTCGCTGATTTTACACGTTTTCTTAAGTTATTTCAATATTTTATTGTTTTATTATTTATTTGTTGTTGTGGTTGTCTACGTTATTTTTACCGCTACACAAAAGCGCTTGTTGCTTTATCTTCTAAAGCGACACTTCTTGCTGTGCCCTCTGTGTTATTAATGTATTTGGCTAAATAATAATACAAAGGAAATATATCACTCATACGCCGTGTACACCCACAAATAAATAACAAAACTCAAAATGACGTTGCTTTCAATTGGCGACCGGAAATCACGTTGGCGACAACACGTTGTGCAAAGCAAAAGTGCTCGCTGCTTTGTCTCAAATGTCAATTGTGCGACAGTAAACTCACACATACACGCACACGGACCCACACCCTGCTGTTATTAAAACACGTTTTTGCTTTTAGACAAGGCGCGGCAGTTGTAGTGATGCACTTAAAGCCTGTATTTATGTCACACATATCAAGTTCCACATACACAAACACACACGCACACACAGACTTGAATCAGAGATTGCAAAACACCGACGGAAACGGCTGATAACGGCAACGTATGGCAAACAAATATGTAGAATAAAAAAAAATTAAAAAAGTGAAAAAGTTAATTTTAGAAAAATTTTACAACTTTATGAGTGATGGGGAATCCCACCTAAAAAAAAAAAAACAATTCAAACGAAAATCGTAAAACAGACTCCACAAAAGCGTGTCTGCTTGGCACACATTTCGCTCGCGGCAACGCACACTTTTACTTTCAAGCGTAAATATAAGCACGCGCACATATGGATAGCATGAATATCTCTACTCTACACACACACATACATACACATATATAATATATGTATGCGAATTCTCTACACAGTATTTAATTAGCGCAAAAGTTCGCATGAAAGCACGCCATACACAAGCGAATATTGACAGCGAAATCAAATAAACATTAACCAAGCAACAACAGCAATTTAACCGCCACAAAACTGTTTAGTTAATAATCTTTTACATTTATTACCAAATAGACTTCTTCTTAGACACAAATGCTAAAAATTGCTCTGCCTTAAATATCCTGTTTCTCTTGCCGTTGTCTATTACTAGTTTTTTTCCCAGGCACGCGCTCGCGTTGAGTTTTAAGTTTTTCCGTTTTATCGACCGATTAGACGCGCGTCTCAATAGTAACTGAGCCAGCTGCGAGATTCGTTGGAACTAAAATACTCCGGGAAAATTTTGAAAATACGCAAAGTTCATGGAATAAACTGCTGAGCACTGCAGTGTATGCTTTGAGTGTACCAGAGAGCGCGCAAGTGAGTGCACCGCGAGTGTGTGAGCAACGAACGCAAGGTAGAGTTGTATAGGGTGGCCAACTATTTCAAATATTATTTTCTGACACAAATATGTCAGAGTTTTAAGCATAAAGTTTCGTTAATCTAGAAATTTTACTTGCGGATTTTAAGACCACGAGACAAGTAGTAGAAATAATTTCATTAATTAGAATTCTGTACATTTTATTATTAATATAGTTTTCTTTTTACAAAAATAGTTATTAATTCTCACTGATTCATAAAGTTTGCTTCTCATACCATTCTCCTCTTTCGTTTCAACCCTTTAAATTGTTATGAACATTTATAAATATTTTTGAAAAACTAAAAATGTAATATGGTAGACACACACCAATTTTGCTTACACTAAACTGTTACAACAAAATATTTGATCAATAACTATCACTTAAATTGCCATATTAAGGCTGTAACACTAAGTGTGCTCCTTAAATATGACCGATTTTATATGGCACCTGTTGTAGTAAAAACTAGAATAAATATATTATATAAATGTAACCAAAAATAATTTCGTCTCTGCAGAGTCTAATACCAACATTAGTTCTTCAATTGTACTTACCTTTAGGCGCATTTTGAATATACTGTTTATACCTTACTACGAACTACGAACTCACATACGACATACAGTGATCTGAAAGTGGGATTTGTATGTGTAGACGCTATTAATAAGTTGCTGATTATATTAAAAAAAAAAATTTTATTCTACCCAGGCTGTGAAATTATCTTCTCATTACTTATTAAAAATTTTAAAACTTTAATTCTCTTGCACAATGTAATAACACTTTTTAATGATGCATGAAGAATTTAATCAAAATTGTTATATATTTATGATATTCCTTACAAGAATCGTATTAAAAAATAAATTAGGTTAATGTTATTTTAATTTCAATTTAATTTTTCTCCAGACAAGTTCCTTATTAAATAAAATTTAAAGTAAGTAACTCACAGCATTCTGTTTTAAACGCTATAATAGAAAGTTATCAATACTTCAGTCTTACAACAACCGTAGCTGACTAAGATTGGTAAAATTCTGTTGCTGATTCCTGAACTTCATGACTCTTTCCATATACATATTTTAGAAAAAAATATGTTTCTTTTGATTACTAACAAACTCTAGCGGGATTCTGTTTTATTAAATGCTGACTTAATTTGATTAAATATCAAAATTTTGTTACTTTGCTACTTTTTTCGGTAATAAACTCTCTGTCTAAAAGCACTATCGCTCTCTAAATTAAAATGCCTCAAAAGCTCTCTGGCTCTTTGCATTACTACGCTCCTATTTGTATGCAATATATGCTTGCACATTTGCTGAAGTCTCCAAAGTGCCTCTCGATTCTACTCACTCACACAGTGACATTTGAATTACTTTATCGTTGTTTTTTCGCCATTTGATTCCACCAACAAGCGAGTTTGGAGACTAGCATCAAAGCATCCTGCTGATTTAAAAAAGTGAAAGGGTTGAGAAAGTGGGGCTACAATCTCATTTCGATTTGGTACAATGTAATGTTGATCCCCAGTGACCCATTGCAGCAAGAACCTATAACGGGATTTGATAAAAAACGAGCAATGAAAGTGATGGAAGTTTATATAAAGGAGAGATAGTAAAAATCAGAAAACTCGAGTTACAAAAAATAAACAAAAAGAGTGGAAAAAGAACAAAGCAAAATAAAAATTAGAAATTTCATCAAGTGCAATGCGAGGTTATTTAAAAGTAAAACATTCAAAAGTAAAAGTACCGAAAAAGTGCAAATAAAGTTATATGTTTATAATAAGTTTGATTTAAGAATGATTATATGATAACTAAAAAATTTATAAAAAATACATAACTCCAAAACTTTTCATACTGAGTCGAAATAAAAAAATATTATCCAATATTTTGTCCTCAAAAAAAAAAAAACACCAAAAAAATTTGTTTACGAAAATGAAATGAAAAGGTAGTAAAGGTAATATCATATTATAAATATATATGCATAATATGTACCAATATATAAATATATAATATAAATGTAAATTTACATACAAAAACATACACGTGTCTGAAACGTTTGTTATTTCAGAGTATGTTATTACCCACGCATTTGAAGTTTATACACAAGAATACATATGTATATATGCCTGCGTGAATTCGGCATGTAAACATGTTTCCTCTTCTTTGGTTATGGCAAGCTAAACTTTTGCCACGTGTTGCTCTTTTCAGTTGGCAACTGTTCGGTTGCTGATAAACTCACTTAAAGTTGCTTGCATTAACTTATGAAGAAGCTATAAAAACAAGCGAAAAGAGCATAGTCGTGTCGAAATTTGCCAAATCGTAAGTTGATTGAGTTAAATACGTGACAACATACAAACATATGTGCATAAGAATATATATATATAAATACTTTGGATAATCTAATAAGATAAAGTCGCATTTTAGAGTAGAGTGAAGGGAATGAGTGCCTGCAAAGCAAGTTTAAGTCCACAACACTTTTGTTCAAAATTATCGCATCAAATAATTGCAAGAGTTATTAAGCAAACTGGCATAAATAATAATACGTCAAAAGAGAGGTGAAAATTCAAGAAACTTTTGTAAAAATTCGATATTATTTGAGAAATGTCTTAAACTCGGTTGCTTTATTTTTAATGTTTTAGGTGTGCGTCTTTGATAAAACGAAACATTTTAAAGGCAGGCATTGACAGCCTAATTTGACTCTAATTCTCGGAATCATTTTTATCCACACCTTCGACCTACCCTCGGTGTGTGACTTGGGTAAATTGTCATAACAGCCTAAATGTAGACAACACTTTGAGTGTTTACTTAGTCTTGCCATAAACTACATAGTTACGGAGTTTACAACGTGAGGACATATTTTGTAAAATATACTCAAAAGCTCCTAAATATACAAAAAAATGCCGAGGGTTCAACGTAGACACCATCCAGCTTTTCTAATTGTTTGGTGGGAAGTCCCCTCTAAAATCTTTACACCTCTTCATTTCTGTGAAATAGGAATTTCAACTGAGGCAGAACTATACCAGCAATATTCTGCTCCTAGGTAAAACCCATATCGCAGCAGCTCGAAAGCAATATGCCTGATTCATATCTCTATTTTCTATAATATATATATTTTCCTTAGTTATCCTCGTTGTCGTCGATCTATGGTAAGAAACACGTGGGAAGAAAAATTGTAAAAATTAGCAGAGGTTTCTATCCAACAGATTATTTCTTTATTTCTGCCACACAAAAATATATTTTCTAATACTGCATCAACTATGCTTTTGTTTTGCTTCAGCTTTTCACCGCACCTTCTCGAAAAAACTACTTTTTGAATACTCCGAGCACGTGTGCGTAACTTTTTATGCAAACTTACACCGCATTCGTTTTTTTGTTTACTCTCGCTTATTGCATTTTAACGTTACTAAACCCTTAGTTAATACCACTGCTAATCCTTTCGGTAAAACCCATAGCACCCATGTTATTCTTATTGGCCAACACTTAACACTTCACAGGCACACAAACACACACGTACACATGTGTCAGTTGCAGTTTGTGCGACGTATTTTCAAACTTTTTCCCACCAATTTTTTGCTTTCCTCCTTTCACTTCATCTCACAAGGAGACTGTAGCGAGCACTTCATGCAAGCCAAGCTTTGAAGAGTGTAGCCGCAAATGTCGATAGCAAGCTATTTGGCTCACATGGCGGTTAAGTGGGTATGTGTGTGTGTGTATGGACAAGTTGAGCCTCTTCAGCAGCATTCAATCAGGAAACGGAGGTTAAAGGCAGCGTGAAGAGCGTTAAGACGGAACTATACGAGAATTAAGTGTGCATGTTTCAGGTTTGTGTATAGGCGTGTGTATATGTGCGTGTAACCATAAGAGGATATGTATGTTGATCTTGTCTTTTTGTTTCTCCGAGTTTTTGTTGTTTTGCATACAATTTTTTCCTTTAGCTCTTAGTTGCTGGCGAGGCTCTTAAATTGACTTTTGTTTCTTATCTCTTTAAGTCTCTAACACCAGATTTCAGTTCCTTAACAATTGTCATCTGCCCGGTAGAGCGCTTAGCGTTTACCTGAGTAATCATGAGCCTACCATAAGTTCTTCTGCTAGTACCGACGATTCCTCTCACACTTTCTTACTGTCTCTAACGGGAGAATGTTAAGTCACCCTGGGTAAAGAGTGCCGGCCCTGGAGACGTTACACTTTGAAGTCGACTTGACTTACATTTTCTGTTGCCCGTTGGCTGTTATTATTTTTGTTTATAGGCTGTCATCTCAATATGAATCATCACACCCTTATGATGATGCAGCCTCGAACAGCCAATTTTGTGTGGTATAACCTGCTTACTTGCATACTCAGGTGACGGAAAAACTCTACCACCAGACCAAGGTTCAAACAAATCCAATCTTAAAATCTAAACATAAACCGTGGTCAATGGTCCGTAAGTAGTCTTACAAGCGAAGAAAGCCACAGTTCATTTAGTTTCAAAATACCATAAGTTCTTCTGCTAGTACCGACGATTCCTCTCACACTTTCTTACTGTCTCTAACGGGAGAATGTTAAGTCACCCTGGGTAAAGAGTGCCGGCCCTGGAGACGTTACACTTTTGAAGTCGATTCTGACTTACATTTTTGCTGTCGTTGGCTTATTTATTATTTTGTTTAGAAAGGAAGTCATCCTTAAATATGAACTACTGTCATTCCAAGGGATAGATGCAGCCCTGAAATTGTCAATTTGTGTATAACCCGTTTACTTGCATATTACCAGGTAGACGGAAAATCCCTACCACCAGACCAAGGTCTGTTAAATCCAATCTTAAAATCTAAACATAAACCGTGGTCAATGGTCCGTAAGTAGTCTTACAAGCGAAGAAAGCCACAGTTCATTTAGTTTCAAAATAGTTCATGGAGCTTGTCATCTTGGAACATTTATAAGAATGGTTCATAAAAGTGTTGACTACCTAT